AGCTTTTTACCCTAGTAAAAGTGTAAAAGTACAATTTTAAAACTACTTTAAGGTAAAGGTACATAAAAGTAAAAGTAATGCAGGAAACAAATGTTAAGGCCAGAAGCTTTACTGCTCTACCCTATTAAAGGAACATTTTTCTACATTACTTACTTTTACTTCATTTTCTTAGTTTTATAACTAATGGTAACAGTATCAAATGTAACTTTGCATCATGTTGAAAAACTATTTATTTTGGTATGTGGTGAGCAACAAGTTGGGGCAGCACCGAGTCCAGCCACAAAAAAATAATTGTCTGGATGAAACTAATTATTTTGATGATTTTTATTACAGGCTATAATGAAAATGAGCTTAAATGAAACAAAACTAATGAATAATTTTTTTAAATGTAAGGAGAAGAAGTAAAAAGTCGTCTAAAAAATAATTACTTATTTATTTAGCTGAGTACTACAGCTGAGTACTACAGCTGAGTACTACAGCTGAGTACTACAGCTGAGTACTACAGCTGAGTACTACAGCTGAGTACTTCATCCACCTCTGCTTGTTACCAAGGGAATCCATCCATTAAAGTTGGAGCAGCGTTTTCTTTAGATGCGTCTCTCAGGTTCTGCTCTGTGTCCTTTCAGCAGGCTGGTTCTGGTTCTGAACCTGGTTCTGGTTCCTGTTGGACTCGGGTGTTTAAACATGTCAGGGACGTTTGTTCGGACTGACGTCTGACCAGAACACACAGAACCTGCGATCCGTTCAGCAGCCTGAAGGTCTGTGAGTCGGTGTTCAGACACCAGCAGCCTGAACCAATGCAGACATATGCTGTGGGTGTGTGCACAGCTCAGCCTCATTAGCATACAGCTGAACGCCGTTCACCCCCCCTCCCCCTTTCAACATGGTAGCTGCTGCAGAGAAAGTGACTGTAACGGGTTCTAGAGACGGGCCTGATCTAACAGAACCAGAACTGAACAGTTTCTATGGAGCAGCAGTGAAATGGAGGCCAAGGAAGGGAAGGTGTTGGATGAAGAGCAGCAGGGAGTCTGGAGCTGGGGGGTGGGGGGGTGGATGGGGTCTGATTAAACCTGCAGAACTTCTGGTTCAGATCCCGGTCGCCTACTGAAGCTCAGCAGGTGGTCCTCCATCACTTTCTTCTCATTAGAGAACAGGCGTAACTTTGTGAAGGACTGGTGTGGACGTGTCCCCACCAGTAATCTCCAGTTCATCCAAAGCTAACAGGTTGGATGCAGCTATCAGAGCGGTTTGAGTCTGCTCCCATGTCCCGCCTCTCGGTGTTACATCATCAGATCTGTCGCTTTCAATCATCTGATTTGCCGTCTCATTTCACTGCGTTCAGAGTCGCTACGTGTTTGGATGAGAGACACAGCATCACTCTGAATATTAACCTGCATCTACGTCGATGTTTAAGTAAAAGTTAGGAGACAGAAAAAAAATACAGATGTCACCGGGAAATCTGTTTGTTAGACATCTGGAGCTTTTTTTTTTCAAGCTAAAAACGGCAACAGATTATAAGTTTATACAAGTTAGTATTATAATGCAAGAAGCTTGAGAAAACATTGTTTAAATTCTTTTTTTTAATTTTTTATTCCACGTATGCCAGTGTTTTTGACAAAGTTTCCGTACGTTGGCACACACTGGCTAAATAGTCAAGTTGTTACAGCGCCATTAGGGGAAGTTCTTGATATATTCTAGCCTGGTGAGACCATCCTGA